ACCGGGAGTACTTGACCTCCGGGCACAGACTCCTAGACAGTCCATGGCCAGGCTTACGGGGCTCAGAATGTCCCAGTCAAACTGGTGACTATTCCAAGTGCCGATGGCTGGTGCTCAGCGCCCTGCCTCCCTCCTAGCTTCCTTCCTGTGTGCAGGGACACAAGAATGGCATGTCCCAGACTCTCTCGTCAGTGTCAAAACACAAACAATAACAGAGATTCTGAGAAGAACAGTGATATATATTTAGGAAAAACATTGCAATAGGAATATGCGCACCATAGAAAACTATTTGAAGAAGTTGAATCACGGAGTTGTTTTAAAAGGAAGAGGATTATGTAAGACACTCTTTGAATCACCTTAACCACAATGATTAGTGTCAAAGGTGATGCCAGTCTGAGGCTAAGTTGCTGGGCAGATGGCTTTGCAGAAGCATTTTTTTTTTTAAATGCAAGTTTGCGGTGGCCTTTGCGCAATGGTGTGGTTTTTGGCAAAGTCTTTCACGATAGCAATAGTTATTTTTAGGCAATCATGCCTTCATCATCTCTGGGCTTTATTTATTTATTTGGTGAATGTTGACACAGTGACTCCATTTTGATTCTGCGAACTGTAAGACCAGCAATGTGCCAGGTTCGATTTTGCCATGGACGAGACTTTCTGCAGGATTTGGAAAGCAGGCTAGAAGCAGAAGTCATCCCTCACCAGTGGCGGCTGAGGACAGGCACGTGAATGCCCGCAGACACAAGGTGTGTCATTGTGCTGCAGCTTCCAGGTGTCTGGAGAAGCACCTGCTACGACGTGGCACAGCTCGTCGTCGTTGTCATTTAGTGACACCTGCAGTTCCTGACTGATGGAAAGCCTGTCACTTCCCTGGTCTTCTCTCCCTAAATCCTATCAACCGGGTTGCAAGTTTCCAGTTCCCTATACCAAATCTCCCTGTGCTTGGGAGAAGGAAGGCGGTGTGACAGAAAAGTACGAGGCATTCACCAAACTCCATTTCTTTTCCCTCCTGGGCACATAGAAGCTTGCATTTCCCACACTCCCTTGCACTTTGGTGAAGCTCTCATCAGAGCTCCGTGTGGCCCATGGGATGTGTATCTAGGCTGGCAGGGAGACCCCTTTCCACACCCTGCTGTGTCATCTCAGTCTTCCTCAGTTTCCAGCCGGACGGAGGACAGAGCATGCAGTGAAGGTGGAGACCCCCGAGGTCCTGGGCGTGGCGAAGCACTAGATAGAAGGGACACACATCCCAGAATCACCACGCGGGCTGGTCGATCACCAAACTCCTAACTGCCTCTGTGTAAACCTGACACGAAAGTAAACACCATGAGAGAAGAGATGTGGGATTAGTGGTGATTCGTAAAGATGAGCACGAATTTCCTGGATAATTTAAAAAAAGAATGTTTTCAAAATCAACATGTCGGAATAGCTGATCAATTATTCTTTTCTGTCATTACAAAACACTTCTCAGGCCCCACACAGACCTGTGACCCAGATGCCTATTGCGCCAGGAGTGAGTTCCGGCTTAGATTGGCTCCTGCCCGGTCCAGCTTCCCGTTGGGGCTGGATGGTGGATGGGTGAGCAGGGCATGTTTCCAGAATTTTCTTTGTTAACTGGAATTTTGAAATTGCATAAAATAAGGGACCTGTGGAGAGCCATCCCCAGATAGGAGGTCCCCCCTAATCTCCACTTAGGAATTCTCTAAGGTTAGGAAAGCTGTTCCACTTCACTGAGGCTCAGATTCCTTAGCCATGAAATTACCCTAAGAATAGGAGCTTCCTAATGGGTTGATGAGGGGGAGGTACTGAACAAGTGTTGTGGCTCTTCCTGTTACCTGGCCTGAGGTCTTTCTCGGGAGTGTGAGAATAGACTCTAGCCCTTCCCTGATAGGTGTGGACATACAGCATCATTTCATAACCTTGGTGCACAGCCTAATGGCTGTCTCACCTGTGGCCAGGTGCGTCTTGTAGGAAGCTTGTTGATACTGGCAGATGCCCCTGTGGTCCTTTTCTGGCCTCCATCCAGGCTATTCTTACCATGATGGCCACTTTCGAGGAGAGCCCGGGTCAGGGGGAGAGCTAGGCTCAGGTGTGACAGCCAGGTGAGACATAAAGGAGGTGACTCCACAAAACACAAAGCAATAGAAGTGGAGTATTACCGGTCCCAGGGAACAGAGAGCAGCATGCCTGGCAGGGCCAATAGGAAGAGGGAGCCACCAGCCAGCTGGTGGGACTTGGGGGGGGACCTGGGTCCTGGAGCCTAGGGTGTTACTCATGCACTTTCCATGGAGAGTTCTGATTGGTGGGTTCACAGTGAGCAGGCTGAATTCTGTGGTGTCACCCTGTGACCGAGAGGAGGCTGCCACAATATATCGACAAAGGCCCTGGGCCATGGAGGTTGGAAGAGTGAGGTTGTCCCCAGCTGTCCCCCAGGGAGGTGGACCTCAGGAGGGAGTTTATATAAGGCAGGTGTAGGGACAGACTACAGTGAGGAGCTGGAAGGAGGCAGAGAACCGGAAACTGTGTCCAGAGTGACACTGCTTTTGGCATCAGCAAATTAACCCTTTATTCCAAACGGAGGTTGAGGCGACCCCAGAGCTACAGAATGCACTATCACACCTGCATACACTCAAGGGACTCAGCACAGCCTGGGCAGAGAGCAGGGGCCTTCGCTTCATCTTGGAGATGAGACAGAGGGCGAGGACATCGCCACCATCACCGTCTAGTTGGCGGGCAGAGGCTGCCAAGGCTCCAGGTGCCTGACTTCTGGTCCGGGTTCTTGGTGGGTCCTTGTTCCTCCTCTCAGACAGTGGTCAGGAGGGACAGCCCAAGCGTCTGAATCAGCAGCTTTCCTGGGAGAAAATCCCGTACTGGGTGCTCAGAGGAGAAAAGCAAAAAAGACAAAGGAAGAGCAAGGCCGAGTTAGACTGAAGTTAGACTTGGGGTGGCAGAAGACCTTGGGCAGGGTCACTTGGGCAGTAATACCCCGTGAGGCTGGCTGCTGTGACCAACAGCCACATCTCTGTAGCTTAATACACCACGTTGGCAGGGTCTCCCCTGGAGGGTCCTCTTGAAGTATGACAGAAGAAGCTGGACTCCTGAGGAATTTTCAGGAGGCAGGTCTATTGGCGGCAGCAGGCAGATCCAGAGTGTGGCTTGTGCCTGAAACGTTCTCTGGACAGAGATTTGGGGAAATTTTTGAACTTCATACCCAGTGGGGTGGGGGCTGGGAAGTTCACATGACGAGGGCTTTTCCTTCCATCCTGTAGACCAGACACAGGTCTCACAAGTTTTTACCAAGAAAACAGAGGTAATATCTTTTCGCACAAGCAGCTTGCAGACTCTAATTTTACCACGTTTTTGTGCAAACCTGGCATTTAGAAGAGAGAGGATGCTTCACACCACAGCGCCTCCTGCAGACAACCTGCGGATCTGCCGAGAGGAGAAGCTTAATTATGGCAAGGGTCTTTGGGGTGAGGGTGCCAAGTCTGCTTCACTCTCCCTGACAGCCCCCTCCAAACACGGCAGGGGGATGAGCCGTCATGAGGCTCAGTCCTCGGAAGCCCTTCCCTCCAGAGATAGAGGCAGCAAGGACTGCCTGGGCCACTGCAGTTTTACACACACCTCACTGATCCCACCCGGATGCAGCCAGGGCCAGCCCCTGGCCTTCCTGTGTGCCCACAGGGGAACAGGGCATTGGGAATATGCAGACAGGTCTTGGTGGTGCCCGTTGCCACCTGTGGAGACACACTCGTGTCTTTGGTGCACCCACCAACCCCCTGGGGAGGGACTGCTCCTATCCATTCTATGGATTTGGAAACAGGCTTAGAGAGTGTCCGTAGCTTGCTCACAGTCAGATGGCCAGCATTTGGCAGAGTCAGGATTTGAACCCGAGTGTTCCTGGCTGAGGGTTTCTTAGCCTTGGCTGCCCTGACATGTTGGACCAGACGCCTCTTGGTTGTGGGGCTGTCCTGCGCCCTATAGGCTGTTTAGCAACGTCCCCAGCGTCTCTCCACCAGATGCCAGCACCACTAGCCACCTCTCACCCAAATGCTTTCAGACGGTGCCAGGTTACTCCTGGGAGGGAAAGTGTCCCCATGAGGAGCCACGGCTCTACCACCATGGGGTGGGGGCATGGCAGATGCCATGGTGGCTAAGGCTGACATGGTACCTGGCTAGAGAAGACCATGAGTGGTGACATTTACCACTGACCCGGCCTGGAGAGTCAGGTAAGCTCATCTTTTTCCTGTTTTACGATGAAGGGGACAAAGCCTGTCTACTCCAGCCCTTTTTCAACAGCACCGGCTCAGCTTCTGTGAGGAACCAAACCCAGATCCAGCCTCTTGAAAAAAAAAAAAAAGAAGAACCAGTTCAAAAAACTCAAAATCCAGTCTTCTCAGAGGTTACATTTTAGAGACATTAACAGACACATGAAGCATGGGGTATCTCAGATCATAACAAATGCCCATAGAGAAGAAAGAAGTGGGGGTGGGGGTGGCGATGGCCTCATTGAAAAGGTGACATTTGAGCAGCGACCTGGAGGGTGGGAGGCATGGAGCCTGGCTGCTATCTGGGGGAAATGTTTCCTTAGCACAGCAAGTGCAAATGCCCGGAGGCCTCTTTAGCAGGCAAAGGAGAGAGCATGTGTGGCCAGAGTGGAACGGGGGATGTGGGGGTGGGAGATGAGGTCTGGAGAAGAGGGGGGATGTCCGTGTGACTTGGAGGCATATTCAAGCCACTTCTACGAGCAGTGCCAAGACATAAAGCTGGAACTCAGCCGCAATCTTTCCCAGCCAGATCAGGTGGTGCGAGCCACTTTCTCCTCTGTGTGGGCCCTGACCTAGAACCACATCCTCACCTGAGTCTGTGACTCACCTGGGCTGTGCCAATGTTTGCAGGAGACAGGGAGGCGGGGAGAGAAGCCGGTGGTGTATAAGTGAGGATGTCTCCCAGCCCCAAACCATGTCCTAATGGTCTAAGCTGAGCAGGGTTTCGTGTGGCCTTCTCCTCGGTGGACACAACATGGTCTTCCTGGCCCTGATCCTCCTTGCAGCTGCCTGCGTGTTCTCGCTGGGGGTTGTGCTGTGGGCAGTCTGCAGCCATTTTTACACGGCAGACATCCCTGCAGGTACCGGCCACCCTGTGAAACTGAGGCTCCTCAGTTGTCTTTTCCAGCTGTTGGTGACATGGGTGAGTCTTGCTCTTTATTTGTTCCCTTTTCTAAGGGTTGAGGGAGTTGGGGAAAATCACATATCAGAAGCTTCAAAGTGAATTAACACTGGCATCGTGTGGCCTGCCGTTGAAGCTGATGGCTCATTCTCAAACCTGAATTATTCCTGTTCGCTGGTTCTCAGCCCGGGAAGCTGAGTCGGACTGGGCTAAGAGCCACACAATCCAAACAATGAGTTGCTTTCTCAGGGTGTGAGTCCGTTCTTCCTTACTCTAATGAAATACCTGAGATAATCAAGCTATATTAAAAAAAAAAAAGTTTATTTGGTCTCACAGTTTTGGGAATTCAGGTCATGGTTGGTTGGCCTCACTGCCTTGGGCCTGTGACCCGGCAGCACATCCTGGCAGGGGGCCCATGGAGCAAAGCAACTGCTCACCTCATGGCCAAGAAGCCAGAGGGAAGAGGACGGGGCTGGGGTCTCACCATCCCCTTCAGAGGCTCACCCTACTGGCCCATAGACCTCTCCCAGGCCCCAGCCCCAAGGGTCCCACCACCTCCCAACAATGCACGCAGGGGCTCCTCATCTCCAGTATAAGTGATTTGTTTAAACACATTCAAATAGACCCCGGTGAGAATCATGCAGAAGTTGCTGGTGGAAATTTGCAGTTCTTTGCCAGAGAGTTGACAGAATTGAATATAGAAATCTGTTGTTCAATTTCTTACACGATAAGGAGTCACTGTGAATGGCTCTTCTCATAAGAAACCCGAGATGGAATCTTCTTACCTCCCGGGCCTGCTTTTTTGAGATGCCACACCTGGGTGCCTTGGTGTCCCCAGCCTTGACTCTCAGTCTGTCATCCAGCTTCCCAATTATGCTGACTGAATTTCCTCATCCTCAAAACGGGGTGAAATAGCAGCCCCACCCCATGGCATGGGTCCCATGAGGCGAGCCATCTGCTGGCCTTATTGCAACACCAGACATAAAGCGAGCCCTCCATAAATGTGAGCCATTGTCACTATTTATTGTACAAAGACATGCTGTACAACCGTTGTGTGTCTTGGCCCCAGACTTGGGTTCAGTGCTGGATGAAAGATGGATTCCTAGGCAGGGTCTCTGTGAACCCAGGGAGCTTGGAGTCTCACAGTAGTCGGGGCAACCAAACAAGGAGACACAGCACAATAAAACAGCATCCCCAGAACCCGGTGCTAGGAGGAAGTCACACAGGGACTTACCCACTGGGGCTCCCTGAGCCCCCAGGGGGACAGAATGCAAAGAGATAGGGTCCAAATCACCCCATGATCACTCCTAATTGCCGCAGTCCGGCTGGGCACAATTCAGGAGCCACTTGTCAAAAGAAACTAACTTTATTTTTAGAACCACACACGCCAAGCAAAACAGCTCCTCAGGAAAAAACCCTCAGAGCCCAACTGCCACCACCGGCTTCCACAAGCCTCTCACCCCCACCCCAGCCTCCCCACCTCCCACAATCCTCCTGCTCTTGAGGCCGATTGGCTGGGTCACATGGGCGGAGCCAAAGGAGTCCTCCAATGAGCAGCTCTGTGGTCTAAAAGGGCAGGGAAACAGCCCAATGAGCATCACCGCAGAGGAGCCAATCAGCTAGATATTGCTGGGGCTGCTGTGAGCCAATCATCAGCCGGCAGCTGGAAGTTTGCTGGGGCCCCTTTGGCTGTGGCTCTCAACACCTAATCTTGAATTGCAATGTAGCCTCCCATTAAGAAGGAAGGCCACAAACCCCAGCTGGTGAGCAGGGCTGGAACTTTGTCACCCAAAGGAGTTTGTCCTGCAGTCTCTGTGTTCCTTGACATCAGGGCAGTGTCTGACAGCTTGCTGGCCTTGCTACTCAGTGTGTCCATAAGGAAACATGTATTAGTGACCTGCCTGCCTCGATAATTCCATGTATTTTATATATTCAAACATGGTCCACAGGCCTCACCAAGGACCACATGGTTGTGGCACTGAATAGGGCTAGGGGCTATGGGGAAGGAGTCCCCAGGGGGAGCCGGTTCATGTGTTCATGCTTTATTTTGTGCATTTCTAGACACATCCCAAAGGAGGCGGGATAGTAAAGACGCTCCGTGGACCCGTCCCAGCATTGGCATCCTTGTCAATCTCATTTCATCTTTTCACGTTTCTCCCTTCATTCCTGGTTTCTTAAGAAAATCTAGGACATCATATTAATTTAATCAAAAATATCCCAGTAGATGTGATCAAAAGATAAGAATTCCTTCTTCCCCCTTTTAACTGAACATCATCACAACAGTTAGAAATGGCTGCAGGGGAAGTCTGGGAAGTTCTTCCTGAAGGAGACGGCATGTCCAGCTGAGGCAGAGCAGGAGTGATGAGGGAAGGCGGCGTTCCAGGCAGAGAACTAGTGAGGGGGTCCAGAAGCCTTTTCTGTTGGGAGATAGGTGAAGGGATGGGGCCTGGAGGAGTGATCTGGGGCAGGAAGAGCCTGGAGTGGTTTGATTAGCGCCTCCCTGTTTGCTGGGAGCCGCTTCATTAACAGTTCTTTAGGATGGGATCCGGGCCTTGGGGACATTAACATTTCCCCAGGTGTTGTTCTGGTTTCCTGGACTCCATTCTCCACAATGGCCTCCATTATCTTCCTCGATATTAGACCCGATTTACCTAACTACATGAACTACCTACCTTTAAATCTGGCTTCATTCCCCCCCTCTAATTTTAAGAACTCCTTACTGCTGTAAAGAAAGGGGACGGACGACCGATCTGACTTCTTCATTCTGGCTTCTTCAAGCTGGAAGGGGATGGTGTGAAGTGCACAGTTTTGGAGTTCCCTTTTTAGAAATCAGGTCTATGGAGTGGTCCATGGTAGAAGTCCGATTGAGAAGTAACAGGCTGGAGGGCCTTTTGAGTGATGGTGGTCTATAAGAGAAGCAAGAAGTTGTTAGTACTGGGACTAGATTAATGCCACAATAAATGCCACAGCCTAGGAATATGCCAACGAGTGTGATGCCAATGCCAGAGACTAACAATGTTTTCCACCAGCAGGAAGTGCCAGAGAACCAGGAGCTTGTTGGCAGTCATGTTCAGGATTTCCTTCTAAGTTTTCTGGGAGGAAGGTGGCTGGGTTTAAATTAGAGCAAATCTTTATTTGAGTAACAGGTTCATCTAAAAGTAAGGTCTGATATTTTAGAAGGCGATTGTCTGAGAGCCATAGTTCTCCTTTTGTATTTAAAATCCCTGAGCAATCATGGGAGGTATAGAAAGGTCTCTTCCCAGGTGATTTTAATTGCCTCGGGGAATAGTAAGGCTGCTGCTGCTACTACTCTCAAACAGTGAGGCCATCCTCAAGACACTAGATCAAGCTCCTTGCTGAGATAAGCTACTGGCTGTTGAGTAGGTCCCTTCTTCTGTGTGACCACTCCCAGGGCTATTCCTCTTCTCTCGGTGGCAAGTCGGTTGAATTTTTGTTCAGTGGGTAAGCTGAGGGCAGGGGCTTGGAGTAGGGCTTTTAATGCCTTAAAGGCATTAATCTGTTCTGGTTTCCATATCAGGAAAGTTGTTCCTTGGCGTAGTGTCTCTCTGAGGAGGCTGTAAAAGAGGCTTAGCTAATTCCCCATAGCCAGGGATCCAAGGCCTACAGTATCCAGTTATCCCTAGGAAGCCTCTAAGTTGCCTTATAGTTTGTAGTAGATGATATTGTCCTATAGGGGTTATTCTTTCTGGTTCTAGTTTGCAGGGTCCTCGAGACGGCCGTAATCCTAAATATTGAACTTGTTTTTGGCACAATTGCACTTTTTTCTTTGAGACTTTATAACCCTTATCAGCTATGAAGGTTAAAAGTCCTTTAGTGGCTTCCTGACATTTCTTTTGAGTGGAGGCACACAAAAGTGTGTTGTCTACATATCGCAGGACAGTCAGAGATGTTTTATCTCTGAATTCTGTCAAGTCCTTAGCTAGGGCTTGGCCGAACAGATGAGGGCTATCTCTGAACCCATGGGGCAATACTGTCCAGGTTAATTGAGATCTGCTATCTGGTTCCTCAAAGACAAACAGATATTGTGACTGGGAGTCTAAGGGTATATCAGAAAAAGGCATCCTTTAAATCTAACACAGTAAACCCAGCAGCAGCTACTGGAATCTCAGATAACAGAGTATATGGATTAGGAACCATAGGGTGGAGAGGAACAACTGCTTCATTCATTATTCTCAGGTCCTGAACTAGTCGCCATTCCCCATTGGGTTTTTGTATTCCTAAAATGGGTGTGTTACATGTGTTGCAGGGCACTAAAAGTTTCTGTCTTTTGAGGTTCTGAATGATCTTCAATAAGCCCCCCCTTTTTTTTTTGCCTCTGGGCATAGGGGATATTGTCTCTGAGGTGGAAAGACAGAAGGATATTTTAAGACTATTTTGATTGGAACTGCACTTTTTGCCCGTCCAATTTTTGCCTTCAGTAGCCCACACTTCAGGGTTTATGTCACATTCTAATAAAGGCAAACATAATGGTCCTCGCGGTCCCCAATTCACTGTAATGGATGTCTGAAGTTTTGAAAGTAAGTCTCTTCCCAATAAAGGGGTAGGACATTACGGGACAATCAGAAATGCATGAGAAAACATCACCCCGTCCCACTCACAACTCAGTGGGGAAGTAAACTCTCTGGTGATCGGCCGTCCAGACACTCCTTGCACTGTTGTAACATTAGAGGAAAGAGGTCTGGGGTAAGAGGTGAGCACAGAATAACTGGCACCAGTGTCTAAGGGGAAGTTGGCCTCTTGGCTCCCTAGGGAGAAGCATACCCGGGGCTCACGTGTGGTGACAGGAGTTACAGGAGCCAGAGTTGAGCCTGGTCCCGTCAGGCCTGTGTGGAGGAGTCTGGCTTCAAGGACCCACGCCCCTGAGGACAGTCACTCTTCCAGTGATTGCCTTGACATTTAGGGCAGGGCTTTTGGGGTGGTCTCTTGGCTATTGGGCAATCCCGTTTGAAATGTCCTTCCTCTCCGCCATGGAAACAAGTCCCCTTTGTGGATTGAGGAGCACTTCGTCTTCCTCCTTTTTCACCCTGGGAGCTTGCTCCTCTAAGAGCCCATACCAGCGCTTCAGTCCTTTTTCTGTCTCTGAGCTCTTTTTCCTTCCTTTCCTCTTGATCTATTATAAAAAACGGAAGTAGCAAGTCGGAGGATGTTATCTAAAGATTGATCAGGGCCATAAGCCAATTTTTGTAACTTCCCCTGAATGTCTGATTGAGTAATACATTTGTCCTTTAAAAGTAGGTGGCCCTCTGTGGATTCAGGATCCGCGGTGGTGTGTTTTCTCATTGCCTCCCTGAGTTTCTCTGTGAAAATAGCAGGGCTTTCCTGGGGGCCCTGAATAATTTCTGAAACCTTAGAATAGTTAAAGGGCTTTTGCTTTTTGTCTAATTTTCCAAGCATCCTGTTCATCATTTGGGTACCAGTCAGGATCCTTTCTGGGAACTGCCGTGCTCCAGATGGATAATTGGGTTTGCTCCCAGTCTGTGCTGCTGGGGCCTGAGCAAGGTGTAGGTCATCCCCAAACTGTTCAGTGCTCTTAGGGCTGCTTCCTCCTCATTGGAGAAGTCTGGTTGAGTAACAGCACAATATCTTTCCAGGTGAGGTCAAATACCTGGCCTAAGTTTTGAAATTGCTTAATGTATTTATCTGAATCTTCTGAAAATTTCCCTCAGTCTGTTTATATCTGTCTTAGGTCTTGAAGGGAGAAGGGGGTATGTACTTTGATTGGTCCAAATTCTCCTCCTGGCATCTCCTGGAGGGGTAATATATTTGATCTGACTATTGGGGCAGATGCAGAGAGGCCAGGACATGGGGGACAGGAGGGCCGCTGCTGCACATCAACCGGGGATGGAGACTTTGTGCGTCCTCCTGATTCTTTCTCCACTGTAGGTGATTCTTTAAGATTTTCTCTCTTCATGGCAGATATCATAGCTAAGTCTACTTTACATTGCTGGGATAATTTGGGGTTTTCCATTAGGGCAAAGAAAACCTAGACGTATGGCACCTCACAGCATTTCCCTTCCCTCTTGTAAAATTTATCAAGCTGTAAAATTGTATTAAAATTGATACTTCCCTCTGGTGGCCAGGATTCTCCACCAGGGAGTTTGTATTGAGGCCAGGCCTGGCGGCAGAAGAAAATGAGGCACTTTTTCTTGAGCGTCTGTGGGTCAAACTTATCCCAGTTTTTCCATATTGCAGGTAAGTGGTGTACCTACATATGGGAGAGAGAAGCTCCCATCTGAGTGAGAAGAGAAAAAACAGGACTCAGGAGCCTGCGCCAGAGAAAAGTGTTCTCATTAGGGACGTCTCCCTAAGCTTGAGCTTCCTTACAGACCAGAAAACCCGTCTGTCACCTTGCTTTGCCAAGGGTGTTTCTGGTCCCCTTTGGCAAAGTGCTAGGGTCCCAGTTTGCCCTGTGCCACAGACCCCGGGAGGATTCAGACTTAAGGGCCTTACTGCTTTCCTCCCTGCCACTAAAAACCCACAGCAAAAGAGAATCGCCCGCTCTTGTTTGCCTTTTTGCCCTGTGGACTAAAGGAATCTCCTGAGGATGAGGGCTATCTACTGGTTGTAAGGCACAGAGCACTTTCTATCAGAGGGATTCTTGGGAGGGTTGATTTTAAAATGCCTCCCTCTGGCAGCTTAAAGAGAACACAGCACATTTTTAGGCATTGAAATGGGAAATTTTAAAACAGCTAGTGAAAGTTACCTATGTGCACGAGGGGAACCTGGGCACCATTCTACTAATTATCCCGTGTCTTTCTCAGTCCTACAATCTGAATTGCTAGTGCTTCTGACCGGCAAAGTAAGAGGAGCATCCAGCAGGGAATGGATGCAGGGTTGGGAGTGTTGTGTAAGCCCACGTGGAGGCAAATGTAACTGGGAATTTCCCTCAGTGCCATTCATCTACCGATCACCCTAGATACCCCTTAGGGCTGTCAGGAGGGGGTTCAAGAGAAAGGAACTTTACGTATATACGTATATACGTCTGAGTGTAGCCCAGACTGGAATTCCGCAGTTGTTCCCAAACTCTTTCCTCCACCTCCATGCATCTAAGGATTAGGGACATTGTTTACTCACGCCAATTGCTTTCCAGGCCCAGACAGAAAAGTAGGAAGTGGCTTTGGCAGAGCCCAACATGCCTGCTCTGTATTGAATTGGTGATTGTGAGCTGCCTAGGCTGAGAAACCTCTCACCCGAGTCTTGAAGAGTGGCGGCTGCACTAATTGTGTCCACATCATCCTCTAGAAAGAAATACAGAAAGATGCACCTCAGACAGATGTGGGGTGCATGGAGAGGAGCTTACCTCAGTGTAGATCTCGGTGGGACCTTCAGTCTGTTACTGCTGTTTATCGGTGACAGTCCTTGCTTCCCCGAATGCTGAAGTATAACACCAGAGAAGCATGCCGAGGCAAGGGTACAGTGGAAAGTGGAAGGATTTATTAAAGGACAGCAGAAAAGGCTTCCCCCCAGAGGAAGAAGGGGACCTGAAAGGTAGAAGGTAGAATCCGTGGAAGGGGGAGGTCTTCCCTTTTTTCTAGCTAAGGTCTTCTTTTAGTCCTCCCACACTCCTGTCCTTTATTTCCCTCTGTCCTGAAGTGATAGAATGCAGGTGGGAAGGCCAAAAAGGTGGGAGATAGGTGGACTGATGGGCCAGGGAGGAGTGAGCTGGGCAGGAAGGGCCTGGGGTGGTTTGATTAGCACCTCCCTGTTTGCTGGGGAGCTACTTCATTAACAGTTCCTTAGGATGGGTTCTGAGCCCTTGGGGACATTAACATTTCAATTTCCCCAGGTGCTATTCTGGTTTCCTGAACTCCATTCTTGATAATGGTCTCCATTTTTCTTTATCTTACTCGATACCTAGCTACACAAACTACCCATCTTTAAATCTGGCTTCCAAGGGCAAGGTGTCTGGGGACAGTGGGTTGAGAGAGGCTGGCTGGCGTGGGGCCATAGGGGACTGGGTGGGCATACATTTTACTGCAGATGTGATGGGGATATTGAAGGGGCCCAGCAGGGCCCAGACTCCTCTTTCCTGAGCCTTTTCTCACCACCTGCAGAGAGCAAGTGTGGCAGCCAGCCTGCAGGGGGCAAGCGAGATGACCCATGCAGAACACCTTTTCTACCCACCTTTCCCTCTTCTCTCCAACAGGGTGCAGTTTTTGAGAAATTGAGGATCTGTTCTTTACCCCAATTTGTCAGTTTTGTGCACGATCTGCAGCCACTGAAGAAGGATCCGGAGGTCACGGTCAAAGACCTCCGCTTTGGAACAATCCCTGTGAAAGTGTACCAGCCCAAGGCGCCCTCCTGCACCCCAAGGCCTGGTGTTGTCTTCTATCATGGCGGTGGAGTTGTCCTGGGGAGCTTGAGTAAGAGATCTTCCCCAGAGCTCCCAAAGGATTGGCAACCTGCTAAGGGAGCGCCAAAGAAGGGTCATCTTCTGAGATTACAGTCCACTGTTGTGACCCGGGACACTAGGACAGTTTAGGAACATTAGACCATTTAGGAAGTAAAGGAGTGGAATGCATTGACCTTTTCTGGAAATAAGTGTGCACACATGCACACGCACACATGCATTCACAGATTTAACCACATGTTGAAAATATTTTAAAAATCGTGTGTGTATCTATGTGCGTATACACATGTGTATATATATATACACATGTGTATACACACAGCCAATGTATGTGCACATCATCTTCCTTAGGTATCCATGGGGGTTGTCTCTAAGAATCTTCATTGATCCCAAGATCTACAGATACTCATGTAAACTACTCATATCCTACTTTAAATGATCTCTATGTTACTTTTAAAACCTAATACAATGTCAGTGCTAGATGAATAGATGTCATACTATTCTTTAGGAAATAACAAGAAAAAAAGCTTGTATATGTTCAGTATGGGTACATTTAAAAAATATAAATGTTTTAAGTATATTTATTTATATATATGTATATTTATATTTATATATTGGTCTATCTATAGGTGGTACTAGGCATTGAATCCGGGGATGTTTTATCCCTACCACTGAGTTCCATCTTCAGCCCTTTGTATTTTGTTTTGAGACAGGGTCTAACTAAGTTGCCCCAGGCTGGCCTCAAATTTGTAACCCTCCTGCCTCAGCCTGCTGAGTTGCTGGGATGACAAGTGTGCACTACTGTGCCTGGCTTGGACACATTTTTTTACTAAGTCTTTTCGATCCAGTGTTGGTTGGCTCTGTGGAGGCATAAGATCCTATATGGAAGGCCCACTGTATATACTTATCAAAGCGAAAGCATTTTTTGAGATGAAATTCATACCACAGAAAATGAACCATTCTGGAGTAGCTGTCTGTGTTATGTAGCTCACGATATGCAACTGCCACCTGCATTTAGTTGGAAAGAAGAATATTTTGAATGAAAACAAGTAAAACACATCATTTTGTTTCCCATGAGGTATTGTCTGACACAAATTCTGGTACGGAAACAGGAAGATCAAAGATTTAAGGAAAACTAATAAGAGGAAAGACTCCAAGTGGAGTCAGTTTTATTATCTAAATTCCTGCCCTGTAAATCAGACAAAGGATGCCTTTATTTGATTTCAGCTGGGCTTCATAATCTGTGGGATGCTGGACCTCTCACGGTGGCCTTTGAGAATAAGGGGTTCAGTCAATGGGGGCTTAGGTTTGGTTTGTATTATGAATGATAACAACAGTATTTATTAATAAGAACATTTAGGTCATGGGTACTGTGGAAACCCTGCATGTGCAATATCTCACTGAAGTCCTTGGACTCTTTTGGAAGCTAGATAGTATCATTGTTCCCATTTTACAGATGGGGAAATCAAGCCTCAGAGAACTCAAGCAACTCTCTGGGTAGTATTTTAGCTCAAGTTAAAAAGGAAAAAGGAGTCCAAATTGGGTTTTGAACTCTGGTTTGGGGGAAATCCCTAGATCACACCCTAAACTTCTGTGCCCTATGACCAAAACAGCTTCTCAGACTTTTTTTTTCAGGAATGGTTGGAGGGACCAGGTCTGGCCATTCTGGAGATAGTCGTCCAGAGGAGGAGGAGGAGCAGTGAGGAAGTGGGGAGGAAGGCTACTCCGGAACTGGAAGCAAATTTGCAAAATATAGCGCCCACCCCGGTGGCGCTCTGTCAGCAAGCAGCAGACAGCTAGCAAAGCGCGTCTTCCCAGTGAATGTGACAAACCTTTTGTCTTCCAGAGACCCACCATCGGGTGTGCCTGCGTTTGTCCAAGGACAGTGGCTCGGTGGTTGTGGCAGTTGGGTGAGTGAAGGGGAGGATGGGGGGTGGTGAGGGCAGCGGTGTGGGGGCAGGTGGAATGGGGGGAGAGTGGGGAAGTCCAGGGGTGGGGCTGGGGCGGTGGGGAGCCAACGAGGAGGAGAGGGGAAGAGAGAGCGCCAGACGGAGGGGCGGAGGTCAGGACCGCCTTCCCATGCCTGCAGCCCTCCTCGCTGTGGAGACGGGGTCCAGCTGCAGCCCACCTTCTGGATGCTGGTGGGAAGTGGCCTTTTCGGGGCAGATCAGGGGTGGGGCTTCCCCAGGGGGCACACTTTGGTGGAGGAGCTCTTCTTTGAGAGAAGAACCCGGAACATTCCAAACAGGTAAGACCTCCCCTGCTAAACACCAGCCGCGGTGCCCGCGTCGTCTCCCAGACGACCCCAACACTGCCACATCCATTCCCAAGTGCTCCCTGGGAAAGGACCCCCAAGGAAGGGAGGGGAAATTAACAAATGAGCAAACAAACAGAACCCACTCCCCTCCTAGCTCACACAACCTGGAGTCTCTAAGGGGCTGGCACACACCGGGCAGCGGGGACATGGGCCAGCCCCTCCCTGGGCCTCCCGTCCTGCCGTCCAGTCATCTCCCCAGGCTTTTCCTGTGGCTTTCACTCAAATGCACACGTGGTGAAGAAATATGACTGCCAAGGTGTCTCATGGGACACATGTCCTAGCTCTCTTGTGGCAAAGGTAGTTGAGGAGAATAAAAAATAAAGAGAGAGAGGGACAGACAGAGACACCAGGACAAACGCCTCACCCTATAGCCCTCAGCTCCAAGTGATAGCTCGGCTGAGGGCCCTCTACGCCTTACTGTTCTGGCTGTGCCAAACCAAGACATAATCAGGAGAATATTCCAGCAGCTCTCCACCCGAACATCAGCTTCTGTCCCAGCCCCAATTCCAGGCAGCCTGGAATGAGGATATGGGAGTGGAAATGGCTGGCAGAGTGTTTCTTGCTAAAAAAAAAATTGTGACCAGCATTTAAAAAATGGTGAAATTTCTGACAAGAATCCAGATTTCCAGAATCTCTTGAACAACGGGGAAGTCCAAGAGTGCCAGGTGGATGGCCCTGTGTGACAGGCTCGGTCTAAAGTGGACATAGTGGATTTGAACTCCTCCTGTGATCTGCTGGCCTTTGGTGGGATTGAAGTCTACCTGGTCTCCCCACAAAACCTGTGGGAGGGGAAGGAGGAACTACAATGAAAACCCAAGTGAGCCAGGAGACGCCTGAATTATAAGACAGGAGGCAGCGGCAGCTGTGGGCCAGGGGAGCAATACCAGGCAGGAGTGGAAGTATGGGCTAGTGCTGGGCTACCCAGAGGTTGTCCAGTGGGTGGATGGCAGGACTCGTGTGGAGGCGCTGGTCCCTGGAGGGCCGTGAGCCCTTGGGAATGGCAGCTGCTGGCTCCTGAGCTTGTGAGCTTGGTACCAAGTGCTTTCTGTCTACCATATTGTTTAAGCCTCACACTTACCTCCAGCTGCCAAGCTTTCAGAAAGGGACATTAACAGGACAAATTTGGGCTAAAAGATGCTATAGACACAGCTACTTTGGGCTTTCCTGGGATGATGAGCATAAACTGTGTTGCTTGATTTCTTTTCAGGTACCGCAAGTCACCCAAGTATAAGTTTCCGGTGATGGTCAGAGACTGCATTGTGGCCACCGTCCACTTCCTGCAGTCCCTGGATGCCTATGGGGTAGACCCCGCTCGGGTTGTGGTCTGCGGTGACAGTGTGGGAGGGGGCGTGGCCACCATCATTTGTCAAACCTTTGCCAGCTGTAGGAGTCTCCCCCGTATCCGCGCTCAAATTATGATCTACGCGGCTCTCCAAGGCCTGGATTTCCAGTCTCCTTCCTATCAGCAGAACAAGAATGTCCCTCTGCTCCCCTGGACATTTGCCTTCTACTGTTTGTGCTGTTACCTGGATATCAACCCTTCCTGGCAAAGCACCATGAAGAAAGGTGCCCATTTGCCTCCAGAAGTCTGGGAGAAGTATAAAAAGTGGTTGGACTCAGAAAACATCCCAGAGAGGTTTAAGAAGAGAGGCTACCACCCCGTGGCCCCTGCGCCCTTGGACGAAGCTGCTTTCTTGGAGACAAACGTCCTTCTGCATCCGGCGTGCTCACCCCTGATCGCAGGAGATGACGTGGTGTCTCAGCTCCCAGAGGCTTGCATCGTGAGCTGCGAGTATGATCTTCTCCGGGACCACTCGCTCCTGTACAAGAAGAGGCTGGAAGACCTGGGGGTGCGGGTGACGTGGCACCACATGGAGGATGGTTTTCATGGCGTGCTCAACACCCTTGACCTTGGCTGTTTGCACTTCCCATGCTCTGCAAGAATTCTCAACGTGATAACCCACTTCATCAAGGGACTGTGACCCTGCTTCCTTCCTGCTGGAGTGTCCCCCCACAGGGCTCTGTGGCTACCTTAGGTGATATTGGGTAGGGATAAGTGATTGTCTCCTTCCTGCTCTGGATCAAATAGTGCAAGGCAGAGGTAGGTTTGGGGCTCTGTGTTCACGTTCACTACTGGGAAAGTTGGAGATGACCATCTTTAGTGGCCATTTGCAAGAGTGAATCTGCAAACCAAGGATTCTCATGTCCTCCTTAGCTAGAGTTCAGACTGTCTAGGCCAATCTGGACTATGTGACAGTGGGGCCTGGTTGGCCATACCCAGGGAAGGCCCAAGGGCACCATCTGAAGTCTCACTGGGCTTTTCCAGTGGAGCTCTGAGTTCTGGGGGCACAAGGTTCCTTTTCTTGCTATTGCCCAGATTCCGGGCTCAGAGCAGCCTTTACGTTCTTGACTGCGGCTCTCTCTCTAAGTCTGAGTTGCTTTAGAATCAGTTGCTCTAGGCCCCTCTTTGAATGTACGGCTGAGGTGCACAGCTGACTCTGCTCAGGAGAGAGGGTACCCACCGACCTCTAAGCCCAGAGTCAAGGATGGAAGACCCCAGGACTTCCCTAGAAAGATCTGCCAGTTAGCTCAGGGCTAGTGCAATATGATAAAGGACGGTGGCTTTGCATCTCAAATTGCTTTCTTGGATCAACAGACAATTGAGGACAATTGTCTAGGTTAAAGTTGAAATATTAGCAAAATCTGTCTAACTATTCTCCGCTCCCGCTTCCTGTCAGTGTCTACCTCAGAAACACTTCACCCCCATGAAGAACCTCCCTGCCCTTCTAAGCCTAATCCACATTTCCCTTCATTTTTTCCCAGAGGGACCACTTGCTCCCTTGTCTTATCCCTGAGCTAGCACAGGCTAGTAGAGGTCAAGCTGCGCTGCAATGACAAATGGCCCCACCGTCCCAGTGGTTGACGACAGCAAAGGTCTATTTCCTGGGACCAGGCCAATGGAGCAGGCTGTATCTGAAATATCTCCAGGCTTGTGGCAGAGGGAAATATAACATGGCAAACCACACACTGTCTCTCTCAATGTCTCAGAAGAAGCTCGTCACTTCTGTTCACCTTTCATGGCTGGAGAGTTCTGTTTGCCTTTCACTAATTGGAGCAGTCACACTGTTAAGCCTCACACTGATGGGACCGAGAAGCATAGTCTTCTTCTGAGAGGGGCGGTGACTATTTTTGGATAATTTTATAGTTCACTACACTCTCAATCATATTTCCACTTCCATTCTGTCTTTTTAAAAATTAAATTGCATCAATGGTACCCAAATAGAAAACCAGAAAACATTAGCAGTAAGGCTAAAGTCACTTTGGACTACGCTCCTCTCAAATCCATTCCCTTTTATCAAGATGTATCCACTATTACCTTTTTTTTTAGTTTGTTTTTTGAGTGTGATGTTCTACTCCTTTCAAGCCTGTTTCTTTGCATTTACATACACAGATATATACCCACAGAAAACAAAGAGTATTATTTGGGGGATGACTTTGCCAAGTATTGTATTATTCTTCACATGTCTGTGGACAGCAGGCTGTGCCCTGCTCTGAGCTGCTCCATGATGTAGGGGCTTTCAGGCTGTGCCTAAGCAGTAGCCTGCCATGACTTACTCCATTTTGAATTCAAGTGCTAAAGCGGAATGACTCTATATCTTATTTACACAAGTAAACAACCACCATCTGCCTAGCCCCGTCGTGAGGCACAAACTGATAAATAAAATTATTGTGCTAATAAAAATGACCATCAGTGGGTTACTGAGTTGATCAGAAGCACATGGATCCATGGGGGTATTAAACTCATTTTGGGAACCCCAGGCCCATGAGCAGACGGAACATAGCAGATCACCAAATGAAGCAGCCCCTCACCTGAGGCCCACAAAAGCAGAAGCACCCTGAGACTGGATGCGGTGGCACACTGACCCTGTCACCTGGTTACTTGTCATGGGCTTTGCCCAGGAAAATGGGCACAGTGATGAGCCTCTGGTTTCCTGTGCCATCAGGCTTCAGCTGACTGCGGTTTCTCCTGCCTGTGACAACCACGCGTGGCCCACTCCAAGCTGACTCTCTGAAATTGCCACCCTTCTGGACCTTGGCCTCGAATAAGTTCCTGCGCTTTGACAGCTCTGCACTCTGAACAAAGTCCTTGGGCTATTTCCTCATCTTCTCTGGCCACCTTCTGTGACTTCTGCCATCATAGCTTCTCCCTGCCTTTGTTCTCAGCTTGGGCCCCTGAGCCCAGTGGCTACCTTAACCCTTAGCCTTTCTGTAACACGTGTGTGTGTGTGTGTGTGTGTGTGTGTGTGTTGTGTGATTGTGACTTGAGTGCTACCGATATTAGTAGTAAAGATTGGAATAAAAGAATCTGGCTTATGACTATCAGGTGACCCACAAGTAATCCATGAACTGCCACCAGTGAAAGTGGTGTAGCCTGTGAACGTGTTGTTATTCAGTAAACTCTGACATGGTGGAGAGAAGCGAATGTGTCACGGTGTGCGCATGACAATGTTGTGCATCTTGAGTTTTTTCACTCAGTAATATACCAGAGGAATCTAGCCTATAAAGTAGGTTTATTTGTATTCTTTGTAGCTGCAGCATGGTATTAGAACAGGGATTTAGAGCCTGCTTTTCTCAAAAGCACTGAGTCTTCACTTGGCCTGGCAGGCACCCAGTGGGTCACTGAGAGCAGGAGAAGAGTGTGGCATCTGTGCCTTCGTTTTGTCTGTTTCCTTTGTTACCTTAAACTTTGGGCCCAATCGCTGCTCAACTCTGCACATAGACATGTTGATCATTTAAGGAGTATTCATCTAAAGCTCCTAGTCCCCGCCTTCAAGGATGGAAACAGCAAGATAGGAATAACTAAGGTATTTTTCAAGATCTTCAGGGACAATGAATTGCTAGATTTTTATAATATCCTGTTTCCAGACCCCTAGAATAGAGCCTAGAAGTCTCCAGTCACTGCCGGACACCTCCCAGGAACAGCAGAGCCTTGCAGGTAGATCACCCCATCACCAGACTGCCCTGCACCCCTAAGCAGATCAGTCAGTGATCTCCCAGGATCCAAATCGCCCCCTCCCAGGATTACGTGGCGGATAGATAAATATCCTGTGAGGCAAATGGAGATTCCCATTCAAGTGATAAGGACTTTTCTGGAACAACCTTGCAGAACCAGAACTGGGATAAAGATCAACCAGGAAGCAGTTTGACTAAAACTGTTTAATTACGCAAACCCCTTGTTCCCTGCCCCAATTCTTCCTCTGCGTGAAGCTAAGTCTCACGTCAGAAGCCCTAAGACAGGGCTGAGATGCTGAGCTACTTGCTTCCCACGGAGGCCAGGTTGATTCTCCTTCTTTTTCTGCTTTATTTTTTTATTTAATATTTTTTTTAGTTGTCAATGGATCTTTATTTTATCTACATGTGGTGCTGAGGATCGAACCCAGTGCCTCACACCTGCTAGGCAAGCGCTCTACCGCTGAGCCCCCACCCCAGCCCCTGTTTTATATTTTTTACCTTCCACCAATACCTTTTTCATTTCTTTTCTTGGGGCAAGTGTCTGGACCTCATTTATTGGGCACCCCCAGAGTCAGGCCTTTGGTGGAGGACTCTGGTAACAGTGTTCCTTGGTGTGGTTACATGACACTTTTCAGGTATTCTCTTTATTGGTGGGCACATTTGGTCTGTTCCCAGGTTTTCACTGTGACAAATTCATAACGGACATTTCTTTACCCCCTTCTCTTCTGCTTCAGGGATAGATTCAAAAAGGAGAGCTGTTGACTGGGTACATTTTATTTCTTAATTAATTCATTTTTAAATTTATTTATTTATCTATTTATTTACCGGGGATTGAATCCAGGACATTTCTACCACTGAGTTCCATCCCCTAGCCCCTGCCCCCCC